TCTGAAGATCTTATGCAGACTGGGGGAAGTGAAGCCAACCAGGAGGATCTATCACGGGTCTGCTACCAACTCTGCTCAGACCGAAGAAGCTTCTTGGATGAGGAGCGAAACATTTCAATCTAACAAGAAAGAAGCCCAGTTACCATGACTCAACTTCCAGATAACCCCACCTGGGTGACTGAGAATCTTCACAGATATATCACTACTAAATATATCTTGATATTGCTGGACCAAAACTCCTAACCAGGAAGGCTAGATGGAGGGATGGAGGGAGTTGTCATATGTGTCAGAAACAGAATCCCCCCCCTTGGGTACTCACAGGTAGGACCCAAAGGACTGACTCCCTAAAGGAAGTCACAGGCTTAAGTTTACAAGAGCTAAGGAGGGAAGTTGAAGACAGGATCTTTTGGAGATCCCAATGGGTGATTTTGGAGATCACAGGGTCATGGACTAAATATATCTTGATATTGCTGGACCAAAACTCCTAACCAGGAAGGCTAGATGGAGGGATGGAGGGAGTTGTCATATGTGTCAGAAACAGAATCCCCCCCCTTGGGTACTCACAGGTAGGACCCAAAGGACTGACTCCCTAAAGGAAGTCACAGGCTTAAGTTTACAAGAGCTAAGGAGGGAAGTTGAAGACAGGATCTTTTGGAGATCCCAATGGGTGATTTTGGAGATCATAGAATTTCCCCCCCTTGGGTACTCACAGGAAGGAACCTAAAGGAAGTCACAGGCTTGAGTTTACAAGATCTAAGGAGGGAAGTTGAAGACAAGATCTTTTGGATATCCCAATGGGTGATTTTGGAGATCACAGGGTCATGGTGAGTTGGAGGCAACTTGAGTGTACTTAAGAAGAAAACGGCTATCTTCTGCTGCTTTCAACTCAACATTTTTGTGCAAGCTACATGACTTGCACAACTTGCACAAAAATTACCGCAGCTACTGCTCTGCTGTATTGACGTTAAGAATGAGACACACTGAACACTTGCATATTTTTGGCAGTCAGCCGTCCCTTCTGCTCCTTCCTCCCTCTCCCTCTCCCCCCCTCTCTCTCACACACACTGCTTGCACGCAGATTACTGAAGAGACATGTTGCACAAATTCTAGAAGACTTAACAGGGGAAAAAGTGTGCTCCTTGATTTGCTGGGCACTGGGGGCATTGAAGTTTGGAGAGCTTACTAATTTATCACTGAAATACTTCTTCATGTTGAGACAACCTAAATTGACAAGAACAGGGAATTGCATAAGTGTATTTCCATCGCTATCAAGATACATCAAGAGGGTCGCAAGCTGCCAACCCCCAGCCACTATAAAATAATGAAAAGTCAACCTCAACAGAAATTAGAACAGGTTGGATCCAAGCATTCCAAGCAACCTCAACTCCTTCATTCTGCCGACAACTCTGCTTCCAGCCAAAGTTGATTCCTCATCCTGATTCTACAGGATTGCTCCAGAAACACGGAACTAATGGGGCTCTCTAGATGGTCATCTTCGACCCTCCATAGATGAGAGCTCAGCCAAACAGGCAATTAGTTCGCTCTTGAGTGGACTGGAATATAGGCTCCCCTTATATTCTAAAATTATAAGCCAAGTGGTCATTCTGATGTGAGGATTAGGGATTTCCTATCTGGATTTTTCAAACTCCATCTCCCAGAATTAGCCATTTACCTGACAGACCCATACCTACAGACACCTTAAATTTCACTCACCTGGAGAAAGGCCTAGCTTGCAGACTTCATGGCCTACCTCAGGCCCAGCCTATTAAAAAAAAAGAAAGAAAGAAACCTGCCCCTGTGTAGGTGTTAGAGATGTAAACTTTCTGAAAATTTCAATTTTTTCCTGAAAAAAAGAGTTTTCCTCGTTTTTTTCCAGAAAAATGGAAATTTTGCATTTCTACAGAAAACTTAAATATATAAAATCTCAGAAGTCTTTAATTAAGGTCTTCATGTTACATAGTTTGAATATCATGTCACAGACACATGATTTATCATTGTAAAACAACGTATTCCGGACTCCTCTTTTTTCCCTTTTTTTCTGGGGGGGGGGGGAAACAGCTTTGGGTGGAAAAAATGAGAAAAAAACTTTTTTTCTCGATTTTTCCATTCCCCCCCCCCGGCCTTCCCATCTCTCATAGCGATGGATCTGTCAGGTGGAGTCCAAAAAAATCTGAATGGCACATCCTTTAGCAAGGATCCTCGGCTTCGAAGCTGTAGGCAACGGTATTCTATCAGATCTATTCCTCTGCCCCTGCAGCTTCCAGGCCTGGATGCAACGTGATTCTAGCAAGGGGCTGGGGGCAAGCCAACCCGCACATCTTCCTCCCAGCTGCTGAGCAAACAACGCAGGATGGCTGAGTTACCCACTTATCGTTCACTGGCTTGACTCGAGCGGTCACAGCTGCCACTCCGGCTCAGCAGCCCCCACGTTCCAACTTGCTGCAGAAGCTGCAGATGCCAAGGTTTCTAGTTTGACGTTTTTACTCTCTCTTTCCGCCACCGCCCTCTCCAACCCAAGCCGTAAAACAGCGATGCAGCTTCCCTGCCTTCTTTGCAATTATTTGTGTTCATGTTGCACTCCATTAGAGCCACGAGCGACGATGGGTTTCTGATAGGCGCTGCCAACCTCAGCGTGGCCTTGAAGAAGCCATTACGCCGGGAAGGGAGAACAAGCAGGCAGGCAGGCAGGCAGGCGAGATAGACTTAGACAGTCTCCAAAATCATTTGCAACTCCATGAAAGCAAAACAACAGAAATTAAAAAAAAGACATCAGCCAAATCTCTACCTTAGTTTTCAATGTGTGGGTACAATAAAAGGAAACCGATGATGTGTTTGGCGTGAGGCATGCGGAAGTCCTCGTGTTTTGAAAAAGCAAAACTAAATATAGGGTCCAAGTGAATCAGCTGCTTGATTTTGGGGGGCAAAATGGAAGTGATCCTTTTCACTTTGCAATTTTTCTAGGAGATTCTGAGAACCGGAACAGAACAGTCATCCATCTTTTCTTCAGCAAGGATCTTCACATAAGGAGTAATTCCTCTCCTTACTTCTACATAGTACCCGCTTCAATTTTTGCCTTCAAACACACAGTACCAGTGTGAACCCCCTGACTCTGAGTTGGCTTCATAACAATGCCATATAGCAACCAAATTTGCCCTCACTCCACATGGGCTTCATCAGAACTCTGAGTTGGCTTCATAACAGTGCCATATAGCAACCAAATTTTCCCTCACTCCACATGGGCTTCATCAGAACAAGTAATACATATTACATGATGGTACCAAAAAACCCAGATCAGAGGGAGGATAGTTGGGTTTTTTAAATGGTTACTTAGCAGTAATAAGACTTGGAAAGGTGGAAAGAAGACAGCCAAGTACAGAGGCAAAGAACGACACAACAAGGCGAGTGAAGGGAAACAACATCTCATGAAATATTGTGTCCAAGCTCTCCCTTTTTACCCCGAAAATGGAAATAACTGGGCACAGAATGAGTTTCAGCACAGACTCAGCTTATCTTCAGAGTTTTTCTTTGGGTCTCTTTATGTGATAAAGGGAAATAAAAATATTTTGGATTTGACCTAAGGAGCAAAATAATGCATAGCCTCAGAACAAGGCCCTTTAGAGCTGATAAAGGTCCCTGTTCTGAGGAGTCACCGATGGGAGGAAATGGTAGCCCTCATCTGAGGTGGCAAACATGATCCCTCCCCCTGCAAATTGTCCTCGGACTGTGGTATTCTTGAAAATCTGAAACGGAGCCATTTCATGGCAAAAATGATCCCTCCCCCTGCAAATTGTCCTCAGACTGTGGTATTCTTGAAAATCTGAAACGGAGTGAGGAGGCAGTTTGACAGACGTATCTCCAGCCCTTAGGGTTGTGTTATGTTTATCTGAGATACCTCACTTGCCTGAAACCAGGAAAATTATATTTTCCCTAGAATCTCTCCCAATGTACGCAACAACAACTGTAGCCACCTGCCCTCAAAATCCAAAACAGGAGGGACAACGTCTCCTCTTCTAAAAGACTGGAAAAGTTTGTTTTCTGGACAACAAGTCCCAGAATCCACAAGGCACCATGACTAGTGGCTGCTCTAGAAGTGTGGATTTTTGGAAACCAGGAAAATTATATTTTCCCTAGAATCTCTCCCAATGTACGCAACAACAACTGTAGCCACCTGCCCTCAAAATCCAAAACAGGAGGGACAACGTCTCCTCTTCTAAAAGACTGGAAAAGTTTGTTTTCTGGACAACAAGTCCCAGAATCCACAAGGCACCATGACTAGTGGCTGCTCTAGAAGTGTGGATTTTTGGAATTATAATATCTCCTCTTCTAAAATATTGGAAAAGTTTGTTTTCTGGACAACGTCCCAGAATCCACAAGGCACCATGACCAGTGGCTGCTCTAGAAGTGTGGATTTTTGGAATTATAATCCAAAAATAGTCACAGCTATGGTTTTTCCTGTAGTGCAGTATGGAAGTGAGAGCTGGACCATAAAGAAGGCTGACCGCCGAAGAATTGATGCTTTTGAATTGTAATCCTGGAGGAGACTCTTGAGAGTCCCCTGGACTGCAAGGAGAACAGACCTATCTGTTCTGAAGGGAATCAACCCTGAGTGCTCACTGGAAGGGCAGATCCTGAAGCTGAGGTTCCAATCCTTTGGCCATCTCATGAGAAGAGAAGTCTCCCTGGAAAAGACCTTGATGTTGGGAAAGTGTGATGGCAAGAGGAGAAGGGGACGACAGAGGACGAGATGGCTGGACAGTGTCATCGAAGCGACCAACATGACTTTGACCCAACTCCGGGAGGCAGTGGAAGGGCCTGGCGTGCTCTGGTCCATGGGGTCGCAAAGAGTCAGACACGACTTAAAGACTAAACAACAACAAATCCAAAATAATAATAATATTTCCAAGATTTGCCCCTACTTTCATAAATCCCCTCCCTTCCTCCCTCCCTTCCGCCAAACAACAAGTAAGAGACAGTCCTGCTACTCAGAAGGGTGAACTTACTGCACTGCTACAGGGAATGTCCTTCACTTTAAGCCAAGCCAGATCCAAAGTCCCTTCGCCCCTATAGCAGGACTGCAGCCTCTCCTTGATGCGGTCATTGATCCTCTTGAGTACAAAGATACAGAGAGCCGACTCATCCAACGACTTCATCTTCCTCTTCTGCCCCTTGGAGAACACCGTGAAAAGGAGGTCATCCTCAGGTCGGATGCCTAGAGACCTGGCCAAAATGGCCCCGGCCTTTGACAGGTAGGCCGCCTGAAGCAAGCGGTATTCCACTCCGTTCTTCTCACACCCGATGGGCACTTCAACGTACGAGTTGAAGGCCGTATCTTCTTTACACAGGCGGACCAACTTGGAGGTATAGACCTGCTCCTTGGTGGTGGAGCCAGGTGGAGAGATCATCTCAGGCTGGAGGGTTAGAAAGTAGACGAAATTCCCGCTGCTGAAGCCGTAGATGTAGTAAATGTCAAAATCAGGGATGATGGTGAAGGTGTCCGATGGGATCTTAATCATAGAGGCCACAAACTCGTCATGGAAGACGTAAGCAAACATCCCTTCGGCCTCCGAGTTCTTGGGCAGCTTCCGACTGGAAATTGTGGGGAAGTATTCCGGCTTACCATCCACAGCGGTAGCAATGAACAGCTTGTCGTCCATGTTGCTGTAAGAAACGATCACTCCAAAAACGGACCCGCTCTCGTTCACCCCGGAGAGGTAGTGCTCTTTGTTGTGGAAGGGCTCCCCAAGTTTAAATAAGTCGTCCAACCTCAAGAGTTTACAAATGCCCTGGTATAGGCTCCCGCAGGCAATCAACCTGTTCTCTTTGTAGTCTATGAGGAGCATCTTGTTGATGTTATTTGTAGAGACCAACGGCTCGTTGCAGGGCTGAACGATTCTTGGAGGGTAACACTTGGGGTTATCGATATCCGGGCCCGTCTGGTGGAAGGCCTGGACCTCCAGGTCACTGGAGAGTTTGTAGATCCAATTGACAGCCCCCAAGTAAATGTGTCCTTTCCTTTCATCTACCACTAAGTGGTTGAAATAGACTTCCGCCATGTCCACAGTGAAATTAAGGAAAGGTCTCTTGGCGTGGGAAGGCTGCTGCCTAGCCACAGAAGGCAACGTCATAGCACAGAGCAGAAAGTGCAAGACAAAGCCGGTCCATCTCCACCTGTCACCTGACATGGTTGCAAATAATGTTTGTATTCCTCAAGCAGGGACACAGGTAGGCCAGGAGGAGAGACGTTGCAATTCGAAGTGTTTTCAGAACGTGGATGCTGCTGTGTCACTTATCCTAAGGGAGGAAGTAAAGAGAAAAACATTACTAAAAAGTCATATCTCCCCCCTCCTCCACCACCCGATTCCCTCCTTCAAGAGCCATGGCATCATCAGAGAAAGACGATTTAATTGCTAATCCTTGCCGCCTTTTTTTTTAATCGCTGCATTAACACTCGCACAAAGACCCCTTGAATAAAGCAATGCCAAGATGGAATGAACAAAGACCCAGACTCGAAAGAGAAGAAAATACTACAAAGGCAACCGTAACAAACATGGGTTTAGATTAAACAGAGTTCCAACTAGCGCATGGATGGGAGAAGTTTTGGATACAGTGCCCAGAACCCCTTAGTCTTGGGCCATGCTGGGGCTTCTAGGAGTTAAAGTCCAGACAATGAGACCGCCAGACGTGCCTCATTCTTGAAGTAGGGCAAGAGTTTAGCTAAGAAATCTGCACCTGTGTTTTCGGGTAATGTTAAGCAGGCATGCTGCCTCCTCTTCATATGCCTGTGACAGGAAAAGCCACAGCTGTAACCCCTGGAAGGGGATCTCCTGACGCACCACCCCGATCCACCCAGCATTAAACACCCCGGTCACTCTCAACCCCTTCCTACTTCAAGCGTTCCTCGCTGAGAGAACACTTCGTTAGATTAACATTCCAAAAATGCTTCTCTAAGTGCATTTTTATGTGGAAGTGCTCGGAGTCTTTCTAAAAGTGTCAGTAAGAAAGATGGCCCAATTATACTTGAGAGAGGAGTTGCCACCGTGGTCCTTAAGAGTGCTTGAGAAACCCCACTGCACAAAGCCTGACAACACATAGGAAGGGCTTCGAAAGGACCCTGTGGAAGGGAACCACCTGTGATGTCCTGAACCTCATGAGACATACTGTATTTTTCTGTGCATAAGACTATACCTTTGTCTAAAATCTTTAGACTAAAAATTGAGGGTCGTCTTATACACGGAAGTAAGCTGAGGGGAGAAAGTAAGTGGAGGGGAAAGCAGGGATCAAAGCGATCCTGCAGCACTTTGATCCCTCTCCCCCTACACTTCCTAAGCCCCACTTAGATTTCTTAATTTTGGATTAGAAAAGTGGGGGGGGGGGGTCGTCTTATACATGGGGGCGTCTTATACATGGAAAAATACGGTATATGGAGGGAGCTATAAATGATGACTCCCACATACAGTCCCCCCACATGTAAACAGCAGCAGCACTTCTGTTATCCCTTTACAGATGGGCCTCCTCAAGGTCTCTACTTGACTACTGCATCCAAAACACTCTTTGTCTGGCTTCAGCCTCATGGCCACCATCAAGAAGAGAGAAAAGGGACAATGTACACATTATACAGAAAAGAAATTCTGGTGCTCACAGACGCCACAGCACTGATGCTAGGGTGAGTCCACCCTTGCCACAATGAGTCAGCAAAAAAAAATGAAGAATGTGGCCCTCAGAGGCCTCCAGGGAGCACGGTTCTCCATAACTGCACGTTGATCCCAAACCCTGCGCCTTTTGCTAGCCTGAACAAGCCATTCTGGAAAAGTCACTTCTAGTTTTTCAAAACAGTTCTTTTGGGCATGTTCAAGGGGCAAGGGGTAGGATCAAAGTGTAGTTAAACAAACAGAGAACTGTGTCCCTCAGAGGACTCCGAAAGCCAAATTCTACATTTGTGCCTGGTTTATTGAGGCCATGGAGGGCTCCGGAGGCCCACAAGGCCATATCACCCTGTGGGGCTTGTGAGCAGCAGGATTTTTTTTACTTCTGCTCTATACAATATGCACAAGAAATCAAAGGAAACCAAGGGGTCACTTCCAATCAATTCTGGTTTTGAAAAAATAGGGACGCCTAATTTATGGAGGGGTTGACATGCAGATGAATAAGACCCCCTCTGAGGAAGAAGAAGAAGAAGGATGGTTATCCTAACAGCTGGACAGAAATAATACCCCTACCAATGGTAGTAAGAAACAGCAGCGGTGGTGATGGAACCACCTGACATAACCTTGCAGGTGTAAAGCTATATTATTATCCCCCCATATGGCTGATGGGGGAACGGAAACTGAGAGAAATGGGGAGTTTTCTTTGGCTGAAGCCGTCTCATGACTTCCGGACAGAAGTGAGAATCAAATCAGGGACTTCCGGGTTGGTAGCTCCAACCTTGTGTGTCTCTGTCAGACCGGCTCCCCTCGCATGTGCTGCCTGAGGGCAAGTAACCAAACACCCTCCCATCTTATGCCAGCCAAGCTCATCCCGGTACCCAAGGCATAAACCCACTTAAAGTCCTTTCCTTAATGTCGGTTTGTAGGCAGCAGGAACCAGAAATGGGGAAATTTTTACTTTGTGGAAGAAGACCTCCTGGAATATCACAATGGTTATGGTGGTTATAATATTCTGGAAGTTGCAATCGAGAAAAGATGAATTCCATCATCATCATTTTAGAATACCGACATGAATTTGACCCGACGCCAGGAGGCAGTGGAGGACAGGAGGGCCTGGAGTGCTCTGGTCCATGGGGTCACGAAGAGTTGGACAAGACTTAACGAGTACACAACAACAAAGAAGGAATCGTATAACGGGTTTCATCTCTGTCCAGGGGGCACACTGGCGAACTGAACTCCCAGCCGATGGCTCTCCAGCCAGAGAGCTAAACCACTGAGCTATCCAGCAGTAACTTTTCCCATCTCTGATCAGGACAGATAAACAAACATCTGGAGCCCTTCCATGTTTCCCCAAACCTGTTTTTGGATAAAGACACACAACGGTTCGCCCCGCCTCCTCACAAAAAGTCCAGATGAGAGTTTGAAGACCACCATGACAACTCCCCAAATCATTTTCCAGGTGTACCAGACCAATACCTCTGACATCCTGATTGGACTTTCTGAACTGTGCCCTCCAGGGAATTTGCAAATGGCTCTCAGAATAGAATCATGTCTCATTTTCAAGACTTAGGGGAAAAAAATCTCTTCTTCCTTTCTACTCCTTCCTGCACCATATTAAGAATAGTAAAGATCCCCAGGTAAGGGAGTACGAAACATGGGTTGGCAGGGCTTTTCAACGGAGAAAACCCAACGTGAAGATGAATGGGGGAACCCAGAACACAGGTTATCTTCAGAGCAGCGATTTCCCATCAGCCATATGTTCAGCACCATCTCTGGAGCAACAGGTGGTGCAGGATCCAGGGCCCGAAAGCAAGCCGTCAGGTATTTAAATGAGAAAGGCTTGCCAAACTATTCTCACTGAGTCTCAGGCACAGCGTCTCCCTCCCAACCACCTCCCCTCAGAAAACAGAAAGACAGAACTGTCTCCCAAATGCTCGTGGCTCATATCCGAGAACAGTGAAATTACAGCGCCTCAGAAAAAAAGCAAACAGCTAATGTGATAGCAATACCCAGCCTATCATCACACAGGGCTCCAAAGAGACTGATTAAAAACAAACAGCAAGGAAACAAAAGATAAAGAGGGAGCCAAAATGAGTCCGGAGGCTCAGGATTCTGTTGCTTTATTTATTTCCAGACTAAATCTGTGCCAGCCTTCAACAGCCGCTTAAAACTACAAGCCACAGCAAAAGAAGATGCCTGCAGGAACTGGTAGCAAGACAGAAAAATAAAGATCAGCTAAGGGATGTGTGGAAAAGGCATAGGCGCGCATGCACATAAGCAATTTCATACTCTTATTGATTTTTTCTTCACTCAACATTCCTAGAATTTCTTCCAAACAGAAAACTCCAATTTTGCCTTTAGACCAGTGGCTAGGAAACTCTGGAACTCCAGATGTCTTGAACTACCCGAAGCTGGAGCCAGCTGGGCTGATGGTGAGAGGGACCAAATATTCCCATGTTCAATAGCGCTGGGAAGCAGACAACTTGCAGGAGTGGTGGTAAGAACCAGCCCTGCAGAGCAGTCATTTTTAGGCGAGAACTTTAGCAGGAGTTCCAGAGACCCAGAACTGGATTGGGAAGCAGTTCGAGGTCTCACTTCAGGGCTAAAGAAGGAGTCTCCCTGGAGAGCGGAAAAGCATTGTGAGCATCCTCAGGACATCCCCAGGACAAAAGTAAATCCTTCACTTCCAGATGCACTGCACTGGAACAGCACCGAAACCACCTACTTCATGGACGCTGACCCTGTGGATCATGGATGAAGTTGAGGAAAGTTTCTCCCCATATCTCAAGGTCTGACTGCTTCTGGTCCTGATGTGGTGGGTGCCCCATCACTGGAAGTTTTCAGGAAAAGATTGGACAGCCATCTGTCCGGGATGGGATGAAGTCTAGGATGGGATGAGGTCTCCTGCCTTGAGTAAAGGGTTGGACTAGAAGACCTCCTAAGGGACGTGGTGGCGCTGCGGGCGGAAGTCCAGGATGGGATGAGGTCTCATGCCTTGAGCAAGGGGTTGGACTAGAAGACCTCCTAAGGGACGTGGTGGCGCTGCGGGCTAAACGGCAGAAGCCTGTGCTGCAGGGTCAGAAGACCAAGCAGTCGTAAGGTCGAATCCACGCGACGGAGTGAGCGCCCGTCGCTTGTCCCAGCTCCCGCCAGCCTAGCGGTTCGAAAGCATGCAAATGCAAGTAGATAAATAGGGACCCCCTCGGTGGGAAGGTAACAGCGTTCTGTGTCTAAGTCGCACTGGCCATGTGACCACGGAAGATTGTCTTCGGACAAACGCTGGCTCTATGGCTTGGAAATGGGGATGAGCACCGCCCCCTAGAGTCGAACATGACTGGACAAAAATTGTCAAGGAGAACCTTTACCCTTTACCTTTAGAAGACCTCCAGGGTCCCTTCCAACCCTACAACAATTCTATGATGCTATGGTCAAAAATAGCCTGTCTTCAACTTCCAATTGGTTTTTGATTTTGCCTGTATTTTCATGTGCTTTCCTGATTTTGCATTGTGCACTGCTCTGATACGGATTAAGAAGGATCGGGGTAAGTCACCCTCCCTGTTGAAACCATGGGCCACACCTTTTCAGGAGACTTGAGGGCTGAAACAGCCCTAGTTGGAGAAGGGATGAAGGAGGAGATGAACATTGTAGTCTATGATTCAAATTGGTTATATTGCCCCCCTGTCTTGATGTTTGTCCCAGTTCTACAGAACCGGTAGCTAATGTATTATTGATTCTACAGAACTGTTTGTTGGCCTGCTGAATCCCACCACTGTTATTGCCCCCCTGTCTTGATGTTTGTCTGTTTGTGATATTGTCTTGTAGGCATCCTTCAGTCTCAAGAGACAATGGTAATGTGCTCAGAATACAGGTCTTGGAACAGTGTCTAATGTGGCTCAGAAGGCCAATTCTAGAGTGACCATCCCTTCCACACAGAAGACAAATACAATCTGTCCCCTGTCCAGCTCCCTGGTTTTGCTGCTTTCGGGACGGCCTCTTGGCCTCGGCCTGCTGGACAAGGGTCTCTTCAAATTGGGAGAGGCCGTGATGCACCACTTGCCTCCAGGCTGAACGCTCAGATGTCAGGGTTTCCCATTGGTTGAGGTTCATTCCTAAGGCCTTCAGATCCCACTTGCAAATCTCCTTGTATCGCAGCTGTGGTCTCCCTCTGGGGTGCTTTCCCTGCACTAATTCTCCATACAGGAGATCTTTCAGAATCTGACCATCAGCCATTCTCACAACATGCCCAAGTCAACGTAGATGTCATCTTGGCTAGTACTATAGTAATTGTATAATTTGTTCTATCTTTTTTCATTGTGCACTGCTCAGCGATTTGCTATATGGGCGGTATATAAATTTAACAAAAAAATACATTAACAGGAATAAATACAAAGGCTTCTTTTAGGGCTTTGGATAATGACTGGAAATCATGGCTCTGATTTGACTTTCTGGGCTCTGACATGATCATTGCCTATGGTCGCAACAACAACAACAAAAACAGCAGAAGGCACACATGTTGCTGTCTTGTGTTTAGATTTCTCAACAACATGGAGAAACCTACAGTAACATTCTGGAGAAGGGCCTAAGATAGATTAACCACACTTGGTTTAAGAAACCAGTAGCATCCAAAATAAGAAGATGAGAGTGAAGCCTGGCCTGACAGTACAATCCACTTGAAATACAGTGGACCCTTGACTTACAGACGACTTACAGACTTTTTGAGTTACAGACTTCTCTGGCCGCAAAATTTAGGTTTGACTTGCAGCCTGAGAATTGACTTACAGACCAGAAAAAAACCAAAATGGAACAAAAATGGCCTGTTACGGGATTAATCGGTTTTCAATGCACTGTAGGTCAATGGAGACTTGACCTACACTTTTTGACTTGAGAACCGCCTTCCAATACGGATTAAGTTCTCAAGTCAAGACCCCACTGTAGTCCCCTGGGCCATGAAAACGCACGCCTTCCAAGAGAATATTCTCAGATCTTTTGCAATTACAGGAAGCACCAAACATTCACCTCAAATGATGTATGTAATTATGAATCTTGAGGTCCTTCCTTGGACAAAGCATACACAGGTATGTATGTAGCCTGAACAAAAGAGTTTTGGCAATCCTCCTAAAGGTGTTTCACCCAACTACAGGTGTGTCGCCTGAAGCGAAATATCTGAGGAGTTCAGAACATTAGATTAGGCATCCTTCAGTCTCAAGAGACTATGGTAATGTGCTCTATATGGAGGACTTGGAACAGCATCTAGTGTGGCTGAGAAGGCCAACTCGAGAGTGACCATCCCTTCCACCCTGAAGACAGACACAATCTGTCCCATGTCTAGCTCCCTGGTTTTGCTGGTTCTGGGACAGCCTGTTTGCCTGGGCCTGCTGGACAAGGGTCTCTTCAAATTGGGAAAGCATTAACAGAACATTAACAAAGGCTCAATAGCAAATCCCTTTTTTTAGATAATATTGCACGTCCATTCTCCATAAACCTTGTGGAGGACCCTGAAAGGAAACATTCAGATCTATTTTAATTGTATTTTAATCATTTTATCTTTTGATGTATTGTAATTGTATTTTAATTGTTGTAAGCCGCCTAGGGACCTTTGGGTAGAGTGGGCAGCATATAAGTTAAATAAATAAAATAAAAAATAAAATAAAATCTGCAGCCATGTCCTACAAGGTATGTGGTAGATTTCTCAGAATGCATAGTAGTACAGTACTCCCATGTGCAGCAGAATGTCACGGGGTGCCCTTAAAACAATGCAAGAGAGGCTAAGGCGCCCTGAAACAGGCCATCTGCTGAATGCTTTGTGCTACAAGTCATGTTACATTTTCTAAGCTGCTTGGGGCTCTTTAAAGCAAAGGACGGAAGCATTCTGAGGAAGCAGTCAACTGTGGGGTTTTTATTGGTCACGTCTGAACTGGCGGAATAACCTTGTTTTTTTCTTCTACAAAAGATTCCTCATCTTTAATGTCTTTAACATGCAATAGGAAGAGCTTCTCCCAGTCAAACTCCTTGCATATTTAAGAAGTACGGCTATTCCCAGCTATGAAAAGATTGTGTTCTGCCGTCTACTCACATGGCTTTTCTCTCTGCTGGTAATATTTGTACCTTTTAAATATGGCCTATGCAAATTGAGGGAAATTCCGTTTCTGGTTTTGGAAGACTGGACCAGCATCCTTAAAAGTCAGGATTGAAATTTATTTGAGACCTGAATCCACTGGCAGACAACAGAAGGAGACCCATTAAACCAATGAGATTTATATAAGTGTTAACTCACCAGTGAGCAATTGATTCTGTGGGTCTACTTAATTTTGGACTAACCATTGAATTTAGGTCCTGAAATTCAAAACATTATAAATGCAAGAGAAAGCAAAACTGATAAAGATTCTCCCCACTTTTTCTATCCAGCATTCATCTGCTTCTTCTACAGTTTGCCCACAGATGGCATGTTAACATCAGCACTGGACATCTTCGAAGTTTTAGCCATGTTAATCTGTGCAAGCATACATAAATTCTGCAAATCACAGAGCAAGAATCCAGAGGGAAATAGGTGAGATAAAATATATACACATGCCCAGATATCCATCAATAGATTAAATATTAGCCAAGGTTTCTTAAGCTATCACCGAATCGGATAATTATGATGTTATCCGCTGTTATATTCCTTCCCAAATAACCAGACCCATCTTTTTTTTCAGAACAAAGCAAAAAGGTAAACCCTGTCATTCTTTACATGACCACATGCTGTTTATGTTGTTTTCTTTGATCATGTTGCTGTTTATAGAGCCAGGTTTCAAAAGAACCGAATACCAAGCAGGGGTCTTAAATCATTATTAGGTGTGAAAGCCAACCAAACACCACTTTCACTTTATCTATGTTCTACCACCTAGTCTTTGTATTCTAACTCTGATGTCTGACAAAGCGGACGAATGTCCCACGAAACCTTACATTAAAAATACTGCACAGCACTCGGTCTGGGGGTGCTGCAGTGTTGTTGTTTGTTTTCGTTCCGTGTTTCTTCTTGAAACTCAAGATGGCGTAGGCTGATCCAAAACACCCTAGAAGGGGAAGCGGACGTTGTTATCGCAACCCCCTGCTCTCACTTAAAATGAATGTCCTGTACGGACTTGACATCCCGTTGCAACACAACAGCACTGTTCCCCAGGTAGGGTGCGAAAGAGCCACAAACCAGCGGTGGGTGGGTGTGGTGCGAAAGCCCCCCCAACCCACGTTCTATTAACTGCCCCGTGGCCTTCACTTTTTCTTCACACCTCCAGTTTCCCCAGATCTGCTCGGGGACAGCTGGAAGGATGGACCGAGCAATTAATGAACTCCTGCCAGCATCAGCACCACCACTTTGCTCTGCTATAGGGATGTCAGCGAGAGAAAGAGGGAAGGAGGGAGGGAGCGAAGCCCTGCGTGGGATGCTGACTTCAGCAAGCAAGCTCCGGGCAACACATCCACCGTGCCATAATTCAGCGCCAAGCTCAGCCATGCACAATCCTCCTTAATCTCAGCTAAACATTTTCTCCCCACCCAACAACCCTGGCTTCTTTTAATAAACCCTGATTACCATGGACTTGAAAACCTGCATGGAAATGGGGGGCCGGGGAGGGGGGGAGGAAGCAGAGGAGAGACGCTGTCCACAATTTCTGCTCAACGAACGGTGCTTTCTTCCCTGGCCCGAAGTCCGTTTTCCTCTCTTTAAGCGGCAAGGCAGGTGGAAATGGACCAGAAATCTTCTCTCGGAAAAGGCTCCTGCTTTGGAGACCGTATTTCCTTCCCCCCACCCCCTCCAAGCTTAGTGTAATAAACAGATCAGAGACACACGGCCGGCGCACAGTAGGACAATGAAATGAAAAAGCGAGCCACAGCCTGTCTCGACGGGGAGATACAATTTCCACACCTTTACAGGAAACCTCCGGCGGCTGTTTTAATTCGAAACTGGTGATGGGACTGAACGGCGCTGTGAACAGATGGCGTGCAGTCTATAACTGTAGAGATTTCTGGTACTCTCTCAAACAAATCAAGCTTGAACTACCTCGGGAGGCCGAAAATATTGGGCACATCCTAAGACAGCAGGGTGTTCTGGAACAGACAATATGCTGGGGGAAAGTGGGTGGTGGCAGGAAAAGAGGACGACTGAACACGAGATGGCTTGACTCCCTCAAGGAAGACACAGGGTTGAGTCTAGAAAAGTAGGGCAGGGCTGTGGAGGGCAGGACATCATCACTCATTCACAGGGTCATTATGAGTTGGAGGTGACTTGGCAGCACATCATAATAACAACAGCAGCAGCACATGGCTGCTTGGGGCCAGAGGCTCCACCATCTTCGAAGACCATTTCCTTCAGCAGGTTAGATGCAGTACCAGAGAAAGTACAGGACAATTGTTCCTGCAGGTTTTTTGTTGTTGTTGTTGTTGTTCTTGATTGTTCCTGCAGGGTTTTTTTTTTTGTTCTTATTCCCAGGTTAAATGGAAATGGCCCTTTATCCAGGAACAGGTGTTTTAAGGCAAGGGATGCTGGGCTAGCTAAAGGTAAAAGGTTCCCCTTGACATTTAGACCAGTCGTGTCCAACTCTAGGGCGCGGTGCTCATCCCCATCTCCAAGCCGTAGAGCCAGCGTTTGTCCGAAGACTGTTTCCGTGGTCACGTGGCCAGTGCGACTAGACACGGAACGCCGTGACCTTCCCACCGAGGTGGTACCTATTTATCTACTCGCATTTTTACATGTTTTCGAATGGCTATGTTGGCAGGAGCTGGGACAAGCGACAGGAGCTCCCTCCGTCGTGTGGATTCGATCTTACGGACGATGGATCTTCTGACCTCGCAGCCCAGAGGCTTCTGCGGTTTAACCCGCAGCGCCACCACATCCCTAAGGGATTCTTGGCTATAAAATCCCAAATCAAAGAGCTTGGGGTAAGCAAACCTGAAAGGTCACTTTCCCCTACCTGTCTGTCCAGAGTCTGAGATCTTCAAGAGGGAAGTTCCGGGAAGTAGGGCAGAAAACAAGGGATTCAAATTATAAGAGAGGAGATTTCACCTAAACATTAGGAAGAACTTTTTGACGAAGGGATTCAAATTATAAGAGAGGAGTTTTCACCTAAACATTAGGAAGAACTTTTTGACAAATGGAGTGGTTCAAAAGCAGAATGGACTGCCCAAGGCTGGTGGGCCATTCTTCAGTGGAGGTTTAAACCATGGCTAGATAGCTGTCTGTCAGGGATGCTGCAGCTGTCAATTTCCTGCTTCGGGCAGGGGGTTGGACTCAAGAACCCATTGGGGGTCCCTTCTGGCTCTACAATTCTAGGAATCTACGCTAAGTTATTAAGCACCAAGCATGGAGCTTCTTTCTGTAGAAAGAAGCAAAGAAGGAAATTATCAAAACAAAATAAAAGATGTTGATTTGCACGTTTGCATTAAAAGTCCCTGCTTTCCTTTCCTATGCCATGAGGAGGGAAGGGGAGAGAAATATTTCACAAGTGTCAGATTAAGTTAAATAAATAAAGCTTCTCATCTCTGTAGACATCCACACCTCACTTTCCTGTCTCCCCTACAAATCCCGTTTCACTGTTTCCAACGGAGATTTTCCTTTCCTTTCCTTTCCTTTTGAACTGCTATTATCCTCATCCAAGGTCCAAGAGTCATAAAACGAAATGACGTGAGTAAAACTCTAATGGCACACATTGCACTTCGGTTGACAGAGGTCTCCCGCTGGCAAACAATTCCAGGCTGGGTTGTGGCAAGGGTGATTGACTATAAGTGGCCGGCCAATAGCTGTAATAAGGTTGTCTGGGTGGCTCTGAGAGACGATAGCGGCTCGGTTCCTCTCGTCTTCCCCGCTGCACTCTAGCAGCAGGGAGACCCAGTCTCCCGGAGTCAGCGGCACTAACCCTGTGGTTATCCCCCATATTATGGAAAGGTAAAGAGTGATCAGAATTTCCCTTGATGGTTCCATTCTAACAGGTGGTTAGAATGGAACTGCGCCGGCCAGAGAGGATTTTGTACCAGCTACACTACGACTTTAATCTTGGTTCATTCACTCCTCTCAGAAAGGTAAAAGCTACCCAGGTTAACTTCTATTGACTGGGTTTCATTGGATTCGGCATCTAAATTCATCTCCAGCTTGGGCAGTAAAAAAAAGCCACCTAAAGATCTCCTGCCTTATTCCTATAAAGGGAGATGTGAACCTCACACTACGTAAGGATAACTCTAGGTTTCAGGGGATCATAGAGTCACAGTCGTCGAGTCCAACCCACTGATCAAGGTAGGAATCCAAATCAAAGCAGATCTGACAAAGGGTTGTCTTAAATTTCTCTTGAATGCCTCCAGCATTGGAGCGTTCACCACTTCCAAAGGTCATTGGTTCCACTGTTGTGCTGCTCTAGAAAGTCATTGGTTCCACTGTTGTGCTGCTCTAACAGTTAAGAAGGTCTTCTTAACTGTAAGAGTGGTACAACAATGGGATTGGTAGTCTTTTCAAAAGAGAGTCCCTTGGCTTTTCAAAATGGAAGGATTATCTCTTTTTGTGGCCCTTCCTGATCCCAACAAGGCTAGGGCTCATTGAGGTGAGACCTTACATCTAACCAATAAGATAAGCTATTCCTCCATCCTCCATTTTCCCCCGCTTGCTTTTTGTAACATGTTTGGCTAAAGAAGGGACACATAGGCACACATGGTTTGGACACTGAATTTTGTTCCTTCTTTAGCTGGTTTGACAAAGGCATTCCTGCAACACGGATTTTGGATTCTGAAGAATCTGCCAGCCTCATCTGCCACCCTGACGCTTTTGCCCCTCTCATTCTCATGTAAGCTTTGAGGATAGGCAGCTGACCTTTTCCTTGAGGATTTTATAGAACATACTGTTGGACAAGCTTTGCAAGAATCAAGGTGGGGCATCAGTCAGTGTGCTGGACTAGAAACTAGGAGCCACACATTTTGGAATTTTAGCAATCTCGCATGCTGCCTTAAGCAGGTTTGGCCAGGAGGGACCTTTTCTGGGCCAGGATAACTCTCAATCTATCCAGCACTAATTTCCTCCTGCCTCTGATTAATAAAAATAGTGAGCCTCTCTGCCCAGTTTCCCCTCCCCTTTATTCTGTTGGAAGCAGTCTGTTGAAAACAGGTAGTCTGTTACTTGAAGGCCTGTTGCTTGAAGCAGTTATGTTTCCCAGTTTGCTGTTTGTTCTGTTCTACTGTAAGTAATGAAACCTTTTATTCTTTCTCCTCTTAATGTCTCGGAGTGAGTTATTGAGACTGCAAGTGCCAGTTGATGAGAAAAAAGAGGGATGGACTAATCTGGGGGACATGAAGCTGTTCTCTGTGAATCCCTGCACTTCTGCTGCACAGCTATTGAAATTTAACCAAAATCCAAAGCTCTGCAATAATAAATTCCCTTGGCTAAGGAATTTTACGAGATGAACTTGGGCCTATCCCCCCCCCTTAGCCAAGCTGAGAGTTGTTTGAGGATAAAGTGTTTGAGGATAAAGTGGGGAACAGATGATCGACACATGCACCTTAAACTGATGGAAGAGAAGGCGGGATGTTAAGGTAACAACATAAATGAAATAATCAAAGCAGAATTTCTGGGAAGGACTGATTTCCTCTGCAATAACAATTGTTAATCTTTTAAAAAAAGCTCTTACATTTTAATAAACCTATTCTAATGTCTATTTTATAGTTCTCATCTAATTATGCAAACTTGCAAACTGTTCTATGTCTTAGAGTTTATGTTAATGACAAGAACTTCTGGAGGTCACCAATTCATAGATAAAGATAAAGGCTCCCCTTGACATTTGGTCCAGCCGTGTCCGACTTGAGGGGCGGTGCTCATTTATTTATTTATTTATTTATTGTTTGTTTGTTTATTTGTTTGTTTAACTTATATGCCACCCACTCCACCCAAAGGTCTCTGGGTGGCTTACAACAATTAAAATACAATAAAAATACAATAAAAAGATAAAACAATTAAAATACAGTTAAAATAGATACTCTAAAAATCGCCACCCCTGTCTCCAAGCCGTAGAGCCAGCGTTGATCCGAAGACCGTTTCCGTGGTCAAGTGGCCAGCGCGACTAGACACGGAACGCCGTGACCTTCCCACCGAGGTGGTACCTATTTATCTACTCACATTTACATGCTTTCGAACAGCTAGGTTGGCAGGAGCTGGGACAAGTGACGGAAGCTCCCCCCGTCATGTGCTGTGACTTTTACGGTGACTGGTCTTCCGACCTTGCAGCACAGAGGCTTCTACGGTTTCACCCGCAGTGCCACCACGTCCCAACTCATAGTACCACCAAAAATGAGAAGCAAGAAGCACTTCTATAGAAAACGCCTACTTTCTCACATCACATCCTTGCAAATCTCCACCTGACATGTCGGAGTTATAGAACCTCGTTGGAATAGCTGGAGAACTAAGCTCTGGCCCCAGATCTGGAAATGTTATTTATTTTATTTTTTGGAGCACAACATCTCCTGATGAGCAGATTCTGAGGAAAGATGGAGATTCAATATGGCCACGGCAGTTTAAACAAGTAACTTTTTCAAAACTGTGCATACACCCCTTCTGCCAGGGGTATCATTCAGATTTACAAACCCGCTTATTCACATATTTGAATTAGGATGTTTTCACCGTGTTGCAGTTTGCACCAGCAGTAAAACACATCTGGGGAATATAAGGATGAAAGTTGTTTATTCCCCCTGTGACTTTTCACTCTCCTTGTGCCTGAGATTTCAATGGGACCCCCCCCCCAGTAGAGAGAGAGAAAGCACCCTCCAGATTGGGCCCTTTGTTTCTACATACAGATGTTGGGAGCGTGCTGTCAACAATCACTCCACAGCAGCAGTAATGTAATCGCTTTGCCTCATTAGCGAATATTTATCATTGCCACACAAGGAGAAGCATTGTTTGGAGATATAATTAAAAAGCCCAAGAGTATGTGGCAGGCCCTAAATTGATTGCACCTGTTGAACCAAAATCCTCTGCACCTGTTAAAGGAGGAAGGTTGGTGCGACACCAGAATTTCACTGAATGGACCAGAATTTCACTCTCGTCCTATCATCTGAATGAGGCAAAACTGAGACAAAGAGAGAGGAGGAGCGCATGGCCT